TTTATATTAACTTTAAAAATTAAAAATTAAACTTTTTTATATTAAAAAAACTTTTTAAAAAATTACATAAATCTATAGTTTACCATGATGCATAAATCCATTGTCACAAAGTGCTATTCCAAAGATCATTGCTTCTTCTCTTGTTCTGCAATCCCCCTGCAAATAATACACTAATTAATATAAAAACATAGGCAATTAAAATAATTTCTGTAGTATCTTGGATTATATATGCCCACTATTTTAATGTCAGAACATAAGCGATAAGAAATTTACACTTTACTTTGGTAATAAAATAATATACACTTGCATAATATAATGTATCTAAAATTTTAAAAAAAGATAAATAGTGTATGGACCAAGAATGCTTAATACTTTTGAGTTCTTCAAAAGATACTGGCACTCTAACAGTTGGCCAAGAATACCAAGACATTTATAGCTTAACTAACAGATATATAAAAACAGTCTTAGATAACAGATATATAAAAACAAAGTTATACAGCATATGAAAATGTTAATTTCTGATGATAATATATTGGGATTTATTTCATTTTTCTAATCAAGTTTATGTACTTCAGAAAGCTGCCCTACCTGTGCAATTAGCCAGTCTATCATTTTATTAGCCATTATGACAGATTTGTAGGTTCTTAAATGGTAATCTTTATCTCTGGGGAGGAGAAAAAAAACATAAAATAGTTCATCCCCAAAATATATATTCTACAGAAACTGAATAACACATTCAATACACCCCAAATATAATCTAAGTAGTTCCTTAATCTGTTCAAAATTATTTCCATTTGTATTAGTTTCCAATAGTAATGCTTTATTTTAGTTACAATTATTGTGTATTTTAGCCATGGTTTGAAGTGTATTACAAGTATTAACCTCCCATATATCTCCAAAAGTAGGCTTTTTTAATTTATGGAATTCCCTTGAGGGGAGAATAAAAGGAAACATTATAGTACAATATTATAATTTGTCTCACACCATGGAAATTTCCAGATGAAGTTTTTATCTAGCAATCAGTCTGCCTTTCTGGAACTTAGATGACTGTATCTTGTAACACTCCTACTTTTTTCTGCCCACTTTTCCAATATTTCCACATACAAATACATATGCAGACACAAAACACAAAAAAATCCAAAACCCCATTAAGGAAATAAATATTCTTGATCAGCTGATTAATTAGATTTATATCCTGCCTTTCCTGCAAGAGCTCAAGCTGGCTTGTCTAGAATCTCCCTTCATTTTATCCCTACAACAGGCCTGTGAGGTAGGTTGGGCTGAGAGTAATAATGATTAGCCCAAAATCATTTAATGAATGACTGAAAAAGCACTTATACCACTGAGAGCTATCCAGGTGGAAGTACCCTTTGTTTTAATATTTTTTTATTTCATAACCATACTCTCAATATTCTTGGAGCTGAGCAACATATACTATGCTCAGAAGGTTATGGTTACTGAGATTAAGGAATGTATATTTCTCAATAAAAAACTATTTGGAACAATAGCGTGTTTAGGCAGACGCATACCTGAAAAAAAAAGAGAAAATGTGTGCATCTCCAGATCATCTGAGAGTCTGGAAAGGCAACTGCTGCCTATCATTTTATCATTAAAGTTTAATGAAGTCTAGTTTACTTTCCTAGAATTTTTCTTAATTTATGGCATTTTTAAATTAATTCCTTTTATTTCTGGCATTTAGCAGTTTGAGAATTGCTTGCTACTTGTTTATTGCGTTGATTTAAATGACACTTTAAAAAAATTACTATTTTGGTTTTGTTTGAAGTAAGCTGTACATGCATAATTTGTGGAAAGAAAGGGCAACTGGGTTGTTTTAATACTAGAAGGGTATATGAATAAATAAATAGGAATCCTGCCCCCGCATGAGGTAAGAGGGGTATGGGTTAGAAGGCACGACTTTTCTGCATTAACCCCCACATTGGAACATGCTGCCTCTTGAAGTATGCTTGGCCCAATCCTCCTTGCATACAGAATCTTTTTGACTGGTCACAAATATTGTAAGTAAATAAATAAATACAAGTAAAAGATAAATGAGATTATATATGTATACTTATATACACAAAAACCTGTGTACCCTAAACAGTTATTTAGGAGTTAGTAGTTTGAATAAACAATTAACTATACATATATAACAGCAAGCAGAAATCCAGTAGTTGAACTTTTGTCCAGAATGGAGATGTAATTTTATTGCTAAGAACCTGCTGGCAGTCATAAGAGACAGTATTTTTTGTGTGGTGACTTCATTCTTTTTCACAGGAAATGATTGACTACTTCTTTGACCCTTTAATGTGGTCTTTGAAGACCAGAATGTTTCAATATTTTTAGGGCAATTGGTCAATGGTTGCAAGCTTTAAAGAATGTTAAATTAATTTTCATCAGATTTAAGATTAAAATTGATTCATCAAGAGATTCTATTTTGAGTTTATTGGATGCCCCAAAGAATGCATATGAAAAGACAGATTTTCTCTATTACCAATGTGAAAAAAAAAGATGGGGCATTAAATCATATGATTTAGTGTTGTGAGTTATTACTATCTTTTTGGAGCAATATTTTAATATACAGTATATAAGTAGATTTATGGGGAAATCTTTCAGTGTTAAGGATACTAATGTCAAGTTGAATTATGTTCTAAAATGTGGAACTTGGCTGTTGTTTAGGAACTTTGGTTATATCAGGTGTGAAAAATTGGAAAACCACTAATTTTCTGGATGTCAAGGACTGGATTCAAGATATATAATTTATTCTTTTTTGAAAAGGCATTTTTTCCACTAATCAAAACATAATACATTATGTTCTTCTTGATATACATTTCATAATATTTTAGAAAAAGTTTTTTTTATTTTAATTTTTCACTGTTTAATACGTGACATACAGGTGACATGCCCAGATGGCTTATAATTTTTTTCTTTTGGGGTTGGTATTGTTTGTTATTATGTTTTTCTGTTTTTTATTTTTGTTTTTAGTTTGTTCTTATATTTTTTGTACAGTAGTTAGTCTGTTTTGGGTATTTTTTAAAAAAACTTGCAATAAAGTTTCCAACTATTTTTTTAAAATTACTTCAATGGTGCTTTAAACTATAGCTTAAATAGTAATTGTCATGATCTCAATTTTTATTCACTGTTGATTAGCATTAGAATGAAATATTGTATGCATTGTTTTAACTAATTTTATGCTATTATTATCTGTGAATCACCCTAAGTATGCTTTTTGCTCTTTAAATAAATAAATAAATAAATAAATAAATAAATAAATAAATTTATTGCAATATTCATTTGTTGGAAGGAAAAGCATGCCTTGTATTAATCTTACACTATTTATTGAAGGCTTTGCTGCTCAATGATCAAAGTAAAATGACTGACTTTATGGAAGATTGCTGTTCTTGCAGCACTTTCTATGGCAATAATTTCATCTTAGTTTTCTGTTACTAGACCAATGAACAATCATTTAGCTCTGCATAAGTAGGTAGCAACTATTGTTTAATTTTATTAAACTAAACAATTGAAACCCAAACTTACCTTATCACAGGAGAAAACAGACTGTGCAGACGATAATACAATCTTACACCCTGTTAAGTATACGAACAATGTTAAACCTAAATTATTCAAAATCAAGTAAAGCCAATAGACATTTAGGCAAAACCCACTGTCTCAAATAATGGCAATTTATGGCCATAATTTAAATTGCTTTATAAAGTGAGAGGGGGAAAAAATCCTTCACAAACATATTTGAAACCCAGGAAAATTCCATAGGTACCTCTTCAAAAATAAATATTGACTTTAGTTCATATTATTTGTTGTTTTAGTATACACATTTTTACCTGTGCCCTCTTACACCTTACACCTAAAGGTGCCACTGACACCTAAAACAAACACTTATCAAATATGAGAAAAAGTGATAGCTTTGTCTAATGAATTAAAGAACAGGTGTCACTACTTCTTGCTGAAAGTTTCTTCTACTGTTACATTTTAATTATCAGCATGATGTTCAAAGTGTAGCCTTGAGAGTGGTTATGCACTTCTGATCCCAATACTATGATAATGTAGAATTTGTAGCTTATTTAGTTACAATGCTCTTTTGTTCCCACTTTACTTCTTCTTTCACAAGAGCAAATAAATAGATCAGGCAATTTTTTCTAATGATTTATTACATCAAACAAATCAGGATCATAAACCAACATTTAAAACAGGGGTTCTTGTTAGCTTATAAAGTATGGCTTGTTTGCCTACCACAAAGCATTATCCTAGGTTCAGAACTTCACACTAAGGCAGTGTTTCTCAACCTCAGCAACTTTAAGGTGTGAGAACTTCAACTCCCAGAATTCCCCAGCCAGCATGTTGGCTAGGGAATTCTGGGAGTTGAAGTCCACACATCTTAAAGTTACTAAGGTTGAGAAACACTGCACTATGATATTCTTGCCCAATGTATTTATTCAGTTAAATGGGGCAAAAGGATGACTGAAAGGCTGCATGTAACTCATACACACTATGAGCTTATTTTTAATGAATTATTGGCCTGCCTTCTAATCCTTCAGCTAATGAATACAGTATGTTATTCACTGAAAGAATGCTAACATTAAACTGAAAAGCAAGAGAACACAAATAACATTGCTAAATTCAATAAACATTTACTCACCTACTAATACATTATATTAGGGTTGTATATTATATATCACAACAATGTAATTTATCTTCCTCTTCACAAGGCTCAACAGAACATAAAATAATTTTATCTCCTTATTTTTGCACATCAGTAAAACAGGAAATTCAATTTATATTAATAAGTTATAACACAAATCTTATAATGGCATGTGTTTAGTTTTTAATCAGAATGTTTGTATTTTTAAATATACATTATAACTTTGGGATGTTTTACCTTGGAAATGACATCCTGCATTTCATTTCTTGGATAATATGTGCCATCATCATAACGGAATCTATAGAGCATGTGTTCAGGTTTAAACTGATGTTTGTCTGTAACTAAAGCAAAAGCAAACGTAAAAATAAGTCTATGCTTTAGTCCATAAAGAAAATACATGAAGAGAGTTAGAGGTATGTTGTTTCCTAAAATTAGCTGTAATGGGTTTGTACTTTTTCACTATGGAAAATTACCATGGTAAAAAAACTTTAATGAGATTTCATTAGACTCCACCTTAAGCTTTTATTTTATTCTGCCCTGAATCATAGCAGCAAGAACTTTACTTTTCAAAAAATGCTGCACATCGTAGCCTTTGTCAAGGACTCAGAAATCCCATTATTATAATTGTTAAGGATTTAGAACAGGAAAGCATAACTTAGGAACCCAAAGCTTTCCTGCAACTACCAGATTTATTCCAAAAGTCATTGCCAAATTTGAATCTATAATATAAAGAATATATCCATGTCCATATCCATCTCTCTCTCTAATTTTGTGTTAGGCCACTGCCAGCTGCCTGAACTGATAATAAATCATCTTCTCAAGAATGAATCTCATGATGACCTCATTATCAAGGTTTATTAAAAATAATGTAGGAGTGTTACAAGTATTCCAGCAAGTGAATAATTCTCCCATTAGTATTAAAATATATTTGTGTATGTCAGGGCAGGAACTTTGAGATTTTTCACACAATTTATTGGTATAACAGTGAGGATGTATATTTTCTCTCAGATGTAGTGAGGGGAGTCTGCAGCTGTGGGTTGTTTAAGTAACAATTATTTGAATTCTCATCAGTTTCAGAACAAATCTGTTTAAATAAATAAATAAAACTTCAGCATTAGGTTTTGCATTAGTCTTTTACTGATTCTGCTTTCTCATGGTCCCACTGACTATTGGAGTGTCCACTCAGTGAAAAGTTTTAAAACCTAAAAACACCTCTAGGATTTAATGAAGGCCTGCCTTTTAACATGCTTCATATCCCTATCAGAATAAGTTTGGAAGAAGCAAAAAAAGGCATTGCAAGGCATTTTTCCTAAATCAATGCCCAGCAATGTTTTTAGGCTCCTGGCATCTGGGTGCAATTTAATGGCCACAGAAATATAATATTATATCATATGTCATGTTGTATCATCTCTCTCTCAGAGACACAGACACCCACAAACACATAGTTAAAAATTTAAAATAACCCAAAGCCTATATAAGAGTTCAAGATTTTATTTTGTAAGAGTCTGTGCATTTTTTATTTAAAAATATGACTACTACTTTGCAGACCCATTTTGAAGTATTAGGAGTGATATGCCTCCAATTACATTCCTAATGATGTAATTGTGACCCTGACAATATATGGGTCTCAATTACCTAAATCTAATTAATACATAGTCAAAATCGTACCCAAATTAATCCATTCTAATAGAACACACTCCAAACTAAAACAGAGAATCTTATTCATAAATATATATTGTTTAATCCTACACTTTCTTCTCTGAACTAACTAATTTTAGTTCAATATTAAGATTAATACACTTTGTTTTTCCTAATGTAGTTTTGTTACTTCTGCACTCTTTATGCATATATCACTCAGTCGTTAATCAGATTCATATTTCCGTTCTCTATTCATTTTGCCTCATAGCACTACCAGCTATTGTGTTCATATGTGTCCATTCTAGAACATCTGTATGTGTATCTTTATTTGGCTTGCTATTCAGAAAGTATGGACTTGTAACCAAACAGAATTTGATAAACAACTGAACAGAGGGTTTTCAGATAGACTAACTATGCAATAGGAGTAAACAATAAGAGAGACAGAAACAGCAGAAAAAATAATTAAATGCAGCATCTGGACATTTTAAACAATTGAGCTGCAAAACAGGAAAAAGCAAGTTGTATGTTGATCATATTTAGTCTGTACCACCAATTATACTATTACCAACAATTAGTAACTAAGTTATTTGAAAATCAAAAGAAATTCTAAGAAAAAGTTCATATCCGTTTATATTCATGATTGAAAAGATATGAACCTTTATTCTGAAACTCTGAATTGCTTTGTTCTGTTGTATCACTAACAGAACAAAAATATTAAAGATTTAAATTAGACATTTCTTCAGCTGCATCTCCTTTGCCTGGGCTTGGAAAGTAAACAAGGGCAGACCTGGTTTGTACTTAAGATGGGAGAGCTCCAGGAAACTTTAAAGCTGTAAGCTAGGCATAAAGTTAAAAAAGAAAAACAAACTAGAGCATGCTGGCTGGGGAATTCTGGGAGTTGAAGTCCACTCATCTTAAAGTGGCCAAATTTGGACAACACTGAACTAGAGGAAGGCCGTGGCAAGCCATTTTAGAATTGCTGCCAAAAAAACCAACATGACTTTGTACTCAATAGGAGTTAAACTTGACTTGAAGAAGACTTTAGTTCTTACTTTCTTCAGCTGTTCTGATATGAACAGCATAAGTTTTGGAGTATTTATTGTTAGATAAGATTATGCCTCATTTAAAAATTTAAAAAGAAGTAAATTAAGAAAACACCCACAAACCTCACAGCAGTTCTGAGTTAACCAATTATTGCAAGTCAATAATAATACTGAATAATATTGGATGAATAACATCATTAAAATCCTTAAATGTATAATTAATGTGGATATAGCAAATCCAGAAAATAATACATTTCTAATGTAAACCTAATTGTCTTTCAAATGCACAGTGATTTTCTGCTTCTGCACAAAAACAGATGGTCCATTCAATTTTATTTTAAGAATTCAGTTCCTGTGGAAACACAGCTGGGTCTACATACTAATAAGTACATGAGTAAGTTCCTTTATTTTGGTCAATAACCAGCATAAAATAATAAGAAGACAAAAACAAAAACAATAAAGTAGGGGGCAGCTATAAGGGACAAAATGGAGAATACCAGATCTATCTAAGCTCTTAAACAACATTTGGATATAGTATAATACTGGTATAATATAGTATAATAAAAGAGATTATTCTTTAGGCTAAGGTTGAAACTCAGAACTACAACTAATATTTTAATCCCATCCTCAAAGCGGGTGAGCAGAAAATTATTACTGTACTATTGGGCCGAGAAATTGACTACAGCAATTTTAATTAAAGGAAGAGAGTTCCGTTTAAAACATTGTCAATGGCTGCAATAATGATAACAAATAAAAGAGAGGGATTTTTCAGTGTATTTGCTCACATCCCAGCCTGCTGACTAATAAGAATAGTATGTCTGGCTCAAACTTCCATCTTCTAAAAAAATTACTCCATCAGAAAGGCTTGTAAAATAGTCATTACATTTCTGTTGGGTCTATTTAGGAATGAATTCTGTTTAAAGCAACTGTAGCTTTGATATCAAAAGCTTTCTTCTAAAAACAATTTAATATAGTACATATAAACTAAACACAACCTGCACAAAACAAGAAATATGAGCCCTTAAAAAAAAATCCAATACTTCATCACATCCAAGCATCAATTTTACCTGTGCTCACTTTAAAAAAAAAAAAAAACTTTAATTGTTTGGGCAAAAGTGGAAAATACAACTGCACTATATGGTCTAGTCAGGCTGATTTATCTTGCAATTCATCTTATTTGGTTGTACAAAGAATGATCCAAATTCCACATAAAGAGGCAGATAGCTGTGGAGCAATAACCAACAAATATTTATTATAAGCATTTAATGCAGATAGCTTCTGCAGTAGGTTACCATTTTAGTTAGGAGGAAGCGAGGAGGTTAATGAAAGCAGTGAGAAAGTCAGCCTAACTCCAGCTGCAAATTTCTTGCTAGATCTGAAGACCTGCTTTTTATTGATAGTCAAGAGCTTCTTCTCTCAACAGCCTTCCATACCATCAACAATGTTATCCTTCTGGACTGCTTATGGGGATTGGAAGCACAGTTTTACAATGGTTGTACTCCTCCTTTGCAGTTAGTGTTAGTCAGTGGCCGTGTGAGAGGAGAGGTAAGCCTAGTGACCAATAACTAGAAGGAACATGACTATATGAAGAACTCTACTCCTATCAAACTCTGCATCAACTGACTGGTCTGCTATCAGCAACTACACTGGGCATCAATTTATGAGCACTGTCTTCTCAACTACTGACTCCAGACACTGACTCAAAACTTCCTTTGCATCAGTGGGAATTAAGTTTATATAACATAAATTAAAGCTATATTTCTATGCTATGAGCATATTTGATAACACTAAATCATGGTCATCCACAGGGGACATGACATCTGCGTGACAACATCATTCAAACGCCATGACTTACCAGTCGTTAGGATGCACGTACATAATGGTGAAATCATCACTGTTCATATTTATTGTGGATGCCACTAACAGAACTCTAACCCCCCACATAAGCTATTCTAGCCAAATAAAAGCTGCTAACATATCTCTGACAGTTAGGACAAATAATAGACCAAACTGTTCCAAAGACTTATTCCATAACTTTTGGCTATAGCAAATGTAACTGACATAAACAATTATGTACTCTGTACGCCTACAGACAAGTAAAAAAAGTTAAAGGTTTGAAAATAATTGTTGGGAAAGGTAACTTATTTACCATGGTGGATAATGCCATTCTCTAACAAAGCCTGACCAAGATGAACACCTTCTTCCGGCCTGTGAATCTCTCCAGTTTCCAATAACCAAGATACAAACTCACTAATTAAAAAAAAAGCAATTGAACAAAAATTACTTTAACATATTTAAGTTAAATATAGTAGAGAAGCAAAATTCCTAAAGAAGCAACAGAATACACTTTATTAATGTTGTAATCCAATTCATGTCTACTCAGGAATAAGCTGCTCTGAGTACAATAGGAATGATTCTGAGAGAAGAGGATATCAGATTAGAACCTAAAGTTGTGGTTTCAGAATTCATAATTTTTTTGTTTCTTTAACAGCTAGGGGTCAGTAAAATCTTGGTGGTCAGAGGTTGCATTTAATATTTTTGAAGAACTGAACGCTGCAATGGATGAAATGATGAACCACACTGGGGCTAGTATTCCATTCCACCACCACCACCACTTTTTTTTTTGGTTTTTTTTTTAGGTACACTTGGGGAGATTTCTTTGTTTTTTGAGATTTCTTAAAAGGGTTTCTATGGTAACCTTTTTAGAGTTTATACTATAGTTTTCATATGTGTCCTGTCCCAAAGGGCAGGGAACAACTGTGCAATCAAAGTTCAGTAATATAGCCAAAGGGGACTCTCAGGGCTACTAAGAAGGCATTTAGGAAAGATGTGAGACTTTATGGTTACAGATTTCTATTCCTTATCTATTCTGTTATGTTCTGAATTGATCTATGTCCATAGGTACAAATTTATTGCTAGAACCTAAGGCCTGTTTTACACTGATAGTCTGGTGAGCCAAATGTCTGGGCTGCATGAAGAATCTGATGTTCCTAGAAGCAATATGCAATCAGTTTTATTATATAATATCTTTCTTAGTTTAAACGAAATAGCACTTATCTCCTAGTGTGGCACCTGAGACTATCTGCAGAAAAAAAAAAAGGCGAAAAATAGATTATTTATATAGTAATCTTTATAGGCCATGGCTATTTTATCTCTTTTTAATACCTTGTGGGAAATATTACAGAATGTTTTATAACATGGCTTTATATTTAACAAGGCCAACAAAGAGCTATTTATGCTACTCTCGTTCATCCATAAAAAGAATGGGAAACTGTAACACATAACACATTCTATTTAAAGTTCTAAACTATAGGACACAACTCTGTCTACATGAAAGACTGAAGGGCAATTACTTTTGCGTATGTGGAGTGCTTTCAACACTGCATTTTTAAGCTCAGGGGACAGGCAGACAGATACATCATTGTATTTGTTTATATCATCATTCCAGAAAGATGTGTATACTTGTATAATATCTGCTGCTTCCTTTCAGAAAGATTGTTTAGAACAGCCAATCCTCAGAATTTGCTAGTCAGCATGAGGGTGAGAATATGTGGGCTAAAGCAGGAATCCAAAGAAGTCTGATCATTTTAAAGAAATTTCTTTCAAGTTAGATAAAGAATAGCTAAAATAATGAGACTAAATTTTAAACAAATATGAAACACATACTTTCCAAGGAAACATTTTGGAAAAGTAGTTAATTTTCTCTTTCGGTCTTTGATCAAATTCCCTTGTCTGCACATCATTTTGTAAAGTTTTTCTCCCTGTTCAGAGATCATCACCCAAGTATCTTGTTCCATACCAAGTTTTAGCCCTGAAAAACAAATCACAATATAATAATTCTGAAATGTTTCCAAATACTGTGTTGCTATCTATCTATAGTTGCGGAGGGGGGGGACTCCTTCTGCTTTCAATCTTAATAACATTGGATGTAAAGTAACGTGATTTCTTTTAAAGGCTTTTAAAATCAGAATGGTAACATCACTAAGAACAGCTGGACAAGTTCAAACAAAACATTGCAGACATCATTTTCTGTAAACAAATATATATACACACACACACAGACACACACACACACACAAAAGAGATACTGAAAGATTCAGGTTAAAATTCCTAGTATAGTATTCACTGTTAAAATGATCTCAAGAAGCAGCTTGGGAAGCTCCTTTTCAAGTACACAGTGACTGTAGAGTCTTTTCAAAGTACCCCATTCATTCTTATCTGAAAATCATTTCAAAAGTTGAATGGACTAGCCGTACAGTTGCCAGAGAAACTAAGAACCCAAAAGTACCAGATTAATAAAACTGGATAATGAAGACAAAGCCTAAACACTGACAGTAATACATATATACATATATATCCTCCACTTCTATTGGTGAAATAGTGGGTGACTCTCGCTCATACTGGGGTAAACTGGAAGTGCAAACCTGCCCTAAGAGTGACAAAGTCTGGATCCAATTTACAGTTTTCAAGGAAGCCCAAAGGTTTCATCCGCACTGGGTTGTAAGGGTTACATTTAGTGACATATTATGTTAAACCATAACAGAGTTTGTTTTAAAAAACTATGGTTTAACTTCTTTAAAGAAATTGCCTGTCCCAGATATCTGAGAAAGGCAATTTCCTTAAAGAAGTTAATGATATAAATATGCGTATATCATGCTTAGGCACATTATTGTTTAATTATTTATTAAATCTTCTAAGTTGCCTGATGATGTTAATGACCGCTCTTTAGAGAAGATAAAATTCATGTTCTTGGACATTTTTTTGACTTACGCACACAAAACAGAGATTGCACTCTAACAGCTACGATATTGTGCAGAACCCTCAGACTCCCAGGCCTCTGAGACTGAGGAAGACACATACCACCCATAGGGATGAGAAGAGAATTTTTATATAAGTAGTATATATTATGTACTATTTTCAAGCAAAATTCTTTATTTTTTATTTGTTATATTTTTTTAATTAAGCACTTTTACTAAGCATTAAAAATCCTTATTTTAATTTTTATTAGTAGCATTATTTCAACTTTACCCCATCTTTATATTCAGAGGGTGTTCAAAGCAGCTAACAGATTAACTGTTAAAATATTCACAATTAAAAATTAATAAAATTGCAAAAATTATTCAGCAATATTCCATTGTGGCAGAATACACATAATGCTTAAAATCTAAGAGGACAGAAAGAAAGAAAGAAATCTTTTTCCATCTCCCTCACCATTTTTTTTAAATCTTTCAAGATCATAATCCTACTACTTCAGAGAGTCAGCTAAATTTTCTTTTCACTTACACTTATGTAAACTTTTTCAATTACTCTATATTCATGAAAGTGAGCAAAATTATAAAGTAAACAAAAGTTTCTTTTTATTCATGGTGAATGGAATGTTGTTTACAACTACTTTTAGTGAAGGCATTTGAATTCTGCAAACTGTTTTGTCTATGAATCATTTGTTATTCCATATGTAATTAAGTCGGTGCATCCTGATTTATAAAAGAGATGTTTACACAGATGTTTTGTAGATGGGATGGCTGGGTTATCCACATAGATTATCAAAATAAAATCTCTAGATAAATGTTTCAGAAGCTTTTGAGAACTAATGTGATAAATAATCTGACTCTTGCTCTTATCTTGTTTCCCTCGTTGTTGGCTATAATTTTCTACTGTGCCTGAGGATCTTCCTTGCATATCAAACTAAAATAATGTATAAAATCTTCATATGGGACCTAAATTACATTCTCCCATCTCAGGGTCAATGCCCTGGATTATTCTGGTGCTCACATCAATTACTGCTCCTTGCTGAATACTGTTACTACAAAACATTTGTTCATTTACATAGTATAAACCTAGACAGATATATGCTAGAAAGGGATGGGGGTGCAGTGGAGAGAAAGAATGCATTTCAAGTAAGAATTCTCTCTACAAATCAGTGCCAGCCAATGTCAGCATTAACTCCACAAAGCTGAAAATTTTGCTTTCAGGTAATGTATAGAAAGAGTACATAATTCAAAGACTAATATAGATGTCATTGCTATGTAAACATTAGGCATTAACATGGATAGGATTTTTTTTTTTTAATCATCCGGGGTAAAAAAATCACCAATTTTTTCAAAAGATCTAGGGAGTTCTGCTATCTGTTGTTGAATTTTTATCACTCATCTCTGCTTAGGCTAAGAATCTAAGAATGGTGCATGGGAGGGTTTCTGGGGGCTTGGTGAATCTGACTCAACTAGAGTAGAGTCATTGGCTCCACCACTACTTGAATCACCCACACCAAGATTATGTCCTTAGATGTCTAACTCAACTTCTTCCCCATCCTCCTCATCAGAGGAATGTCCAGCAGGATCATAACACTTCAGGTCCGTATTCACCCACTAGATCTTGCTGTGGAAAGTAGTTGGTGTTGCCAGGAGGTATAGGGAACAGAGGTTCAGAGGTGCTGTTGTTCTACATCCCTCAGGTGAGAAATGCTAGGAACAAGAAGTACACAGCCAGTCTTGCTCCGGGTGTGATAGTGCATGGAAATAAAATTCATGCTCTCACCTTTTCTTCTTTCTCTTTCTTTTAGGATAGCTTCCAGCCACTCATGCTTTTCTTCAGGTGTTTTGGCCATACACACAAACCATTTATTCTTTGCTGTGTTGTGTATCTTCCAACCATTGAGAACAATGTGACCACTGCTGTGATAATCAGCTGGAAAATGATCGCAGAAAGGAAACATCTGAGATGTAATCTCTGTTTGATGGCTACTAAATGCTCTGAGCTGTACAAAATTGTTTCTGATCTCACCTTAAGCATTACAAATAATGAAAAAATGTGCTTTTACTTAAAGCAAAACCTCCCTAGATAAATGCTAGCATCTGTGTGTTTTCTTCCATGTGTTAAGTTTGAGAAACAGGAGGAAGCTATAATTTATTTAATTTTTGACTGGCAGCTCAGAATTATGAATGTAGTCATGCCTAACCAAATCAAATCAAGTATCTTTCTGTTATTTAAACAGAAATACCAATCTCAAACTCCATCCATTTGCCAAAATATTAAAATAAAACAAATAAAAACAAAGCATGTTGCAAGCAAAGAAACACTGTAACACAAGTGGCAATTTCCATTGGAAAAGACAGTCATTCATGCCCTGGTCACCTCATGGCTTAACTACTGCAATATGCTGTACGTGGGGCTGCCCTTGCAGACCACCTGGAAGCTTCAGTTGGTCCAGAATGCAGTGGCATGGACACTAACGGGCATGCCTTGGTATGCCCATGTAACTTCTCTCCTTTGTGGTTGCAGGTTTGCTTCTGGGTGAAATTCAAGATGCTGGTTATTATCTATAAAGACCTTCATGACATAGAGCCTGGTTATGCTCTGGGTTCCTTTGATTAAACAATGCCATCTTTCGGGAACCCGGAAGTGCATCTTCTCTGTCACAGCACTTGCCTTTGGAATGAGGTTCCCCCCAAGATCCAGATGGTCCCCAACCTACTGGTATTTTGAAGGGGCTTGACGACCTGGCTCTTCTCCCAGGCTTTAGCAAGTGTAAGTAAAGCCCCTTAGATTCTTTTTTCCATTCCAAACAGGTTTCTGTCAACTTGCTATCATTTATTTCTTATTTTTGTTTCTGATTTTTTAAATGTTTTTACTTGTGAGCCACCCAGAGTCACTGGGAAGCATACAAATTTAATAATAAATAAATAACAGCTAAAACACTACTATATTCCAGATGCAGCAAGAAGATATAACTCTGCATCTTCATTACTCAGTGAATGACTACTGCTAATCTTTTATTACCTTTGTATTACTATCAGAACCCTTGGAATATGCTGCTTCAGCACAGCAGCTCACAGGATCAGGGCTAATAAAGATCAGGGGCTGTTGTTTATAAATAGGAGCATAACTTTCTTATTTGTATAACCTTTGGTCTTCCATTTATGCCAAATTTATTTATGTCAAATAACTGCATACGTTATTGAAATTGTATACAAGTAGTCCTTGTTTAACAACCACTCATTCAGTGACCATTCAAAATTACAACAGCGCTGAACAAGGAGACTTATGAATGGTCCTCATAGTTGCAGCTGTCACAATGTCCCTGTGGTCACAATTCGGGCGCTTGGCAACCAGCTCACAATTACAACAGTCACAGCGTCCCGCTGTCACATGATCGCCATTTGAAACCTTTACAGCCAGCTTCCAACAAGCAAAGTCAATGGGGAAGCCAGCAGTAGGTCGCAAATGGCGATCAGGACATCGCACTTAATGACCATGCAGGATTCACTTAACAATGGCAACTGGAACTGGTGCAACTGCTGCCATAAGTTGGTGCAGTCATGTGACATTGTGCTTTATGACCACATCGCTTAGTGACAGAGTTACCAGTCCCAATTACCGTCTTTAAGCGAGGACTACCTGTATTATTATATGGGACACAAAGTTAACATCCAAAATATATCAATAGTTAAGAAAGTGATGTATATTCATGTACCTGTGCCATCATCTACATTCTCAACTTCCATCACCTCTGTATTTATTCTGCCCCGGAAAAGGTATCGATGACCTTCTGGAGATGCTTTGCTGTTTTTCAAGCGTCTAATTGAGGAAAAGCATTGTCCAAACATTAAACAATGTTGTACTTCAGGCTCATCAAGATTGTTTATTATTTTTAATAATTAGCTTTACACTAAAAATTGAGTACTATCTAGACCTCGTTTCATTTTATGCTGTTGTAGATAAATTAACCTTCATAAGAAATTTTGGTTGCAATGAAAGACAAAAGGATGCTTTGTAGCCTTAAACTTTTATTCTAAAATCTTATTTTGTTTTGCATTAGATGGAACTTTGTATTTCAAGAATTGTCATTATCTGAACATATAGTGGTTTAAAATATTTGGATATTTTAAATTCATATAATTTATATATGTTCAGTCTTGAAAGCATAAATCAATGAATGTGCCTTACCTATGCTTTCTTTTGCAATAGACCAAAAGATTGTCAAAAAGAAAGAACACTCGCTCCTGTATATTTCCTGCTGAGATTTTCAACAAAACTCCACACATCAGCATTTCTGTGCAAGTGTCTGTGATGTTAGATCCCTAGTGAAGAAACATATGAAGAGAACAATTAAGTGAACGCAAAAGCTGACTGACAAACCCAAGAAATATTCACTTTTCTACACACATAATGCATTTTAGCTAATCAAAACAGCAAAGTAGATTCAGCATTCAGAAAACAATCTTGATTATGAGTTATTATTCACATTATCTACCCATCTTGTTTTAAAAACTGATTTATTATGCAGACTAGTGATGTACCATCTGGAAATACCATCTCAATAGATGGTCCTTTAAAACCATGAAACTAAATTACTCAGAGGATCCCTTTAAAATGGTCTCATAAACAAATTTTATATCAATCATCCCCAATCAGAGAGAACAAAGAAGATGAAACTCAATACATCTGGAGGCAGAAGATTGGGGATGCTGCCTTACGGAATAGTTGCACTGATCAGAAGCTGCTCTCCAAAGTTTCAGAAAACTTCTCCCCATTACCATCAGGCATAGGTCTTTCCATTCCCATCACTCCTGATATTTTTACATACCAATAGGGATTTCTATGTACAAAGCATGGGTTCAATCGCTGCCCCCAAAATCTGGAAGCTGCCTCTAAAAGCCACAAGATGACTTTTAACTTTTGTTCTGTGGAGACATCTTTTGAAGAGATGGTTTCAAAGACCTGCATATGCTTTGAGACTGAAACCACAGTAATTTGGATATAGGAAAATGTGGACTGCACTAAATACATTTGGTTAAATAAAAATTTTTTGAAATCAGTGAAGCTTGCTTTAAAATAAAAAGATTTAAGCAGAATTTTCACCATATATGTCTGGATCAGACTGAAGTGGTAAGCCATTTGAACAAAGCATAATTCTGCTGAATTTGGGACTATAACACTCTAAAAATAATGGGCAATGTTCTTCATTGACAAAGACATTTTTAATAGGCACTCTAAAGAAAAGGTTCAAAAAACATTAATTATACTGTAGGCAGTATTTTTCTTAGCGCTTTACTATAGGCTTATTTAAACATACTGTCTATTTCATTCTGCTTTCCTATAGCACAAAATATTATCATATACAACATACATGATGCTTTATCCTGAGTGAAATCATTAGTATAACTAATCAAATATAGGCTCTTCA